ATTTTTCTTCTTCAGACTCTCACAGTCCTAATTGCATTTCTTCCCCACTGAGAGATCATTGTCTTCCTTCCACTTTCACTGCAGTCCCATGGTTGTGCCAGATTGATACCAGATCCCTATCAAAGTCTCTCTCCTCTCACTCCCTGTTATGTTTTCTTTCTCACAATTATTCCCTGTATTTCCTGCCTAGGCATCTGTCTTTCCCTCCCAGCTCATGTCTCCTCTCTTGGCTTTCTCATTTATCAGCATCCTTACTCCTTCTTTTCCTTCTCCAGAATGAGCTTATCTCTTCTCTCACCTCCCTTCCCCCATCTAATTTCTCAGCAAATCTGTCTCTTCATCGCCCCTCTTTTCCCTCATTCCAGTGGCATTCAGCCCCTTCATTCAGCCAGTCCCTGTTCCCCTGCTACATCAATGTATGAATCTGTTCCCCCTCGGATGTGTGAACCCTCAGCCAGTTACACACACCAAGAGTTCAGCTCAGGCTGCTGCCCAGACTTCAGACATGCCTCTGAGTTAATGATGTGAGCTAAAGAGTCAGCATTAGCTTGGAATTTTCTGGCTTTTGACTTTTCTTTTCACAGCTTGATGTTTTTGTAATGCTTTGTTTTTGTGGTACTTCAAAACAAAACAAAAAAAAAACAGATGGGGACTAATGTGAGAGCAGAATGCACAAGCCTGGCCTTGGCAGGTCTGCCACATTACCATAGCTCTCAGGGCTGCTTAATGGTACTGTCCTTGTCCTCCTGGAGTGTTGCCCCTCCTGGTGCCACATGCCAGAAGAGCCATCAGTCAGTGTCACAGAATCACAGAATCATTTCGGTTGGGAAAGATCATCGAGTTCAACCTGTGTCCAATCATCAGCTTGTCAACTAGAACATGGCACTAAATGCCACATCCAGTTGTTTCTTGAATACCACTAGGGATGGTGACTCCACCACCTCCCTGGGCAGTGCGTTCCAGTGCTTGACAACCTTTTCAGTGAAGAATTTCCTCCTGATGTTCAACCTGAACCTCCCCTGGCACAACTTAAGGCCATTTCCTCTTGTCCTGCTGCTGGTTGCCTGGGAGCAGAGCCCAACCCCTACCTGGCTCCAACCTCCTTTTGGGCAGTTGTAGAGAGCAAGAAGGTTCCTTTCCCTTTTCTCCAGGCTGAGCCCCCACAAGCTCCCTCAGCCTCTCCTCTTTGACTTACTCTCCAGCCCCTTCCCCAGCTTCAGTCCCTTCTCTGGACACCTCCAGCACCTCAATGTCTTTCTTGTAGTGAGTGGCCCAGACCTGGACAGAGCCCTTGAGATGCCTCACCAGTACCAAGTGCAGAGGCACAATGGTGAGGGTCTTATCCCAAAGCCAGCTCAGCCACTTTGGGTAGGTGCCACCTGAGGTAGGTACCACTGTGAGTAGGTGGCAGCTGTAGACAAGTCTCCCAGCAGGGAACACGTGGCCTGCCCAAGGTGCCAAGGAACAGCAAGAAAAAGCCAAATGACTGAGGTGAGAAGCTGAAAGACAGCCAACAGGGAAGGGTCAGCCTGTGGGCAGAGCACAGAATTGATTCACTGAACCTCCGAGATGCATCTCACTGATTTTCTGCAGTACCTTGACAGAAACCAGATACTACAGTGATAGCTAATTTAAAGGTATCAATAGACAGTCACACTCCAATCTCCTGAATCCCAGATCTTTCCCACAGTCACACAATCACCCTGTCCCTCCCCAGCCCACGATACACTGTCTGATATTATCCACCTCTGCTTTGAACTGTGAAAGATTGGGGTCATGCAAACCATGTCCAAGGTGTGGTACAACTCAAGTGTATCCTAGGAATGATTTCAGGCAATTACATACATGGATGCAACGTTGCACAAAGGCATTTTTTTCATCATCAGGGGAGGTTTACTAAAGGGATAGAGTTCTGAGAGTCACCACTGGAGCACTACACACTGTATCCCACAGGTCAGTGGGAGGCTGTGGAGCTGCCCCATATCCACATCACTTCTCAGCTGGCTAGAGGACACAAATGGAATTAAAAATGCTTTATTTTAATAGAATCCCACCATCTGAGTGTTTAAAGTGGAATGGAATCAATTTGTCTCTGGCAGGTTCAACAAATGTGTAGATGTGACACTTGGGGACATAGTTTAGTGTTGGACCTGGCAGTGTTGGGTTAATGTTTGGACTCAATGATCTTAGAGGTCTTCTCCAGCCTTAATGATTCTGTGGTTCTCTGACCTCAGGAAGATATGTGGGAACAGAATTAGGGGCTAAAGTGTTATGGGGTCCCCTGAAATGCAATTAGACAGATACTATTCATGTTGTGAACAGCCACCTTTAATCTCAGGCTGTTTCAGAAGCTCTATTTGTGTGGTTTTTCTGCTCTGCATTCGCAGGAAAGCTTCAGCCTAGGTTAATAACATAGTGGCAGTACTTCACAAAGCTCTCCAACGTACAGAAGTAGCTATTAAACTGTCAACAGCACTAAAAGATGATATTTTGATGGCAATGGATAGGAACCCCATCTTCATGCTCATGCTACTCAACATTTCTGTAGCTTTCAAGCACAGTCAAGCATAATTTGTCACTGACTTGCATATATGACATTGTCTGAATAGGTAGTCTGAGCTACAACTGTGTCAATCCATCTTTTTCCAGGCAAAACTCATGTAGCATCAATAGACAGCAATTCTTTTTTCCTTCTCTGTACCTCCTGCACTGTTCACTTGCTCACCATCTACCTGGAGACCTCTGGAGGAGTTGCAGGACATGCCAACTTCAGTGCTGAAGGTGTTGTGCTGATATTGACCTGCATAATCCCCTTGCACAGCTGCAGCCAGAGATAGCATTATATGTACAGAATGAAGAGCAAATTCAGCCTCAGTACATCCTGCTGGGAAATGCTTCCAAGGACTGAGTTGGCCAATATCTGTCTGGCTATCTTCTCCCTTCCAGCCTAACCTTTCCTTTCATGCTGCTCATATCCTAAAGGACATTTGCAGCATTTAGTGCTGGGGGAAACATGTTTTTTTTGCTGTTGTTCCAAGTCCACCTAGGAGGGAGTGACCTCAGCAGTGATCTCTGTAATCACCACCTCGAAACCCTACTGCACCTGCAATCTGGAAGGAACAGCACATTCTGGTTTGTGCCAAAATCTAGCAGATAATCACAAACCCTTCTGTCCCTGCTGCAGTTCTAAGCTGGTGATCAAAGCCTTAAAAGTCATTCAATCCCATCTACGTCAAACACCCAATGAAGTTGTGCTTTTCTCAGTCTAAACCAGAGTTGCAATATTAGAGGCAGAAATAAGCTTTAATTATAAATTCTCAGGCAAAAAAAAAAAATCAAATTATTTTATATCCTTGTGGGCCCAAGTTGTTTTCCTTTGTTGTCTTAACTGGAATAATGAGGAAAAGGTGGGAGGAAAAGTGCACCCACCTGGGCTGTTCTAGCAAGGCTCAGCAGCAAACAGTCTGAAGTCTGGCATGAAACATTCATCAGCCTCGTTGGCATGACGATGCAATGGTTCTCTGGGTGAAATCTTGAAATCATTGCAAACTTCTGTGATTTAAACAGTCCCAAAATCACTACATGCAACTGCTAGGGAGGTATGCGCTGTAGAGTTCAATAACCACACGAAAAGGATCGAAAGGAATTTGTGCTTATGTTCTCTGCACTTTAATTCTTGAGTCCAGGAACTTTGTGTTGTTTGCTTGGCAAAAGCCTATTTTCTAGGAAGGTATCTAAGAAATGCAGGTCACTAGTGTACTCAGGACATTCTTGTAGTAGGTAATCACTGTCTCCGAAAAAATACATACTTCAGCATTTTCCCCTTGGAAAGCCCTTGGTGCACTGTAATCAAATTAACTCTCAGGATCCTTTTTGACAGCAAACCAGCTTGAATCACATGTTTTTAAGACTTTTCATCCTTAGTGAGTTCAAATAATTTCTGATTAGTGATTTTCTACGAGTCTATTTAGCATATGGAGAGCAAAACTAATGCAATAATCCACTGCTGCTCTTAGCAGTAGCAGATAAAATACAATATCACAGTGCTGATCTTAGCAGTATCAGATAAAAGACAATATTTCACTGCTGCTCTCAGCAGTAGGAGATAAAATGATATGAATCTTTGTTTATACATCCCACTAATGCATCACATATGTAACTCCATAGGTAGCTGATTAAGGCCCGTTGCATGCAACTATTAGTTTTGTGACCAGTTAATCAGAATGCTGATTATTTTGTTGCTATTACTGTCAGTTATTGTAGCCTTTTCGATGGAAAATGTCAAGGAAAATAGTGACGCGACTACTGATGACTTGAAAAACTTGCAGTAAGGATTAAAACCTCACATTGAAGAATAAAACCTTCAACCCTTAATGTAAAAATAACATTGCAATGTACGACTAGGGATTTTTTTTAAAGTAAATGATAGATTTGCTGCTTTTCACTGCAATGTTTTCCCCTCCATTTCTTGTCCTTAGAAGAGGAGTAGTTTGGGAACCAGGTGTTAGCTATTTGCAAGTCCAAGAGGTCATTACAGAGCTATAGGAGCACTTGGAGATGGCCTCTTGCCTCTGCTCAAGCAGCACTCACAAACAAGGAGCTCAGCCTCGAGTTTAACCCAGGACAAGAAACATTCCTGTGCCTTAGTTAGGTATTGCTGGAGCCAAACATCCTGCACCTGCCTAAGCTTGGAGGAGGCATCCCTGAACTTACATTCTGGCATGGAAACCTTCAATTCAGGACCGCAATTTTTTCCCCCAACCAGCCTAAATAACTCAGCAAGCCCAGGTTTTATCCCTGCAGATAACCTTCGTTAATCCAGCTCGGTTTTCTTTTTTTTTCCTGGAGACAAAGGCTAAAGCGAGTTGCCTCGAAGCGCTGCGTGCTGCCGGGGGAGTGGGAGGATGAATGATTCATGTGCTCCAGGCTGAGCTGGCGGATCCTGCCTGTCCCTGGCACCGCCGCAACAAGTGCTGGCTGTGCCAGGCTGGAGCCCTGGGATGCCTTCAGGGGCAGGAGAACCTGCCCGGGTGCAGTGCCAGGGGCTCGCTCGGCTGGTTTTGCAGGTTAAACCCTGCGCGAGATGGGGCAGGGACACCCAGTCCTTTGTCACTCAGATGTACCTGAGCACCAGTTGCACTGCCTGGAAGGAAACACGTTGTCTCGGTAAGTTTGTTTTCTGAGCCTGCTCTAAGCTCTTTGCTGTCTGACTCTAACGTGCAGTGTTTTACTTGTCTAAAACTAGTTTGGGTTCTTTCATTCTTACCCAACAGAAGCCTAGAAAGGCAGGCAATGCCTTTATTTTTGAGTCTATAAAAGAAGCAGACTACCTACAGATCTGACACTAAAGTTAGGATGAAGCTTTCTTAAATGATCTTGTGCTGTTTAAATTTTCCCATCCCTGGAACACACCACTAAAACAAAACCTGTTCGTGATCCAAGGATGATTTTCCCAAACTGAGACTAATGTGAGACTCTGAAAGGAGTTTCATTTTCCCTCTTGGGAGTATAACTTATATTGTTGTGCTTTGTGCAGTTAAATACATTTCTGATTGGGTTGGGAGCAGGAACTGAGATCTGCATGAAATCCTTCCCATGCATTAACTGTTTTGTGGTGTCATGAAGTTGTGACAAAGAATTGGTAACTTGGTTTTCTTAAGGATAGGAAGCAGAGACACTTTGTATGTAAAGCATATGGTAGTGATGAACTTAAAGCAACGCTCACCACTTAGAAGGTAGAAAACATCAAAATGTTTACTTTTATTACTCATTATCAGCAAATGTACCTGTAATACTTGTTTCAATTATCTTCTTTTTGTTGTTTCCCACTGTCAGCAGTGCCTGAGAGCTCTCAGGTAACTCACTACTTGGCACAGTTAGGAACTGGCTATAAAAACAATCAGCTCCCAAGAGCAGAGGCCAAGGGTAGGAGCATGAATGTGAAATGAATCAGTCTTGATTGTGGATAACAAGCTCTCTCTCTTTTTATTTGTTTTTAATTACACAGTCCAGATTCTGCTGCTTCTGCTTTATTTCCTTTGTTTGGATCACAAAAGCATTTTCTTCGGCAGCCAAAAAAGCAGCCAAATTTCGGAGGAATAAAAGTGCAGCAGAATGATATCTAGTGTTAACAGTAATTAAATGCTCTGTGTTTTAAGAAGAGGAAAAAAAAACCACGCGAGGTGAAAACAGGGATATGTAAACAACAGGAGATATGCAAACAATGGATGTAATCCTGCACTCCTTAATCATGGGAGTAATCCTTATTCAGGAAAGTAATCCTGTTGCTTTCAATAGACACGTCTATAGGTGCTGGAGCACAAGGCCCAGCTTTTCCAAGGAGATAACAGTGTTTTACCTGCTTTTTTTTTTTCTTTTCCGTGCACTGTAATTTTAGCAACACAGCTCTTAGTGATGTGTTCGAATGCATTAGTGATAATGCTGAATTAGACTGTACCAAAGGTCCATTTTGCCTCGGAAAGTATGAAAGAGAAAAATGGAATCATGTATTAGATGCGTCAGGAAGAAGGTACAAACCCCACGGGTTTTATTAGTGGCACTGCTCACCCCAGTGACTGTGTTTGTAGATTACCTTTTGGTCCATGAGGTATATAAACTTTGCTTCTTTTTTAGGCTAGGATGCAACTTTAGCAAGAAAAAAAATCACTATGACACATGATATAAAGTATATTTGGCTCTCCCTAAAAGTGATGTTGATAATTGTTGTTCATCTGATTGAAATACTTCAGGTTTGTGGTAACATCCTGTGAATGTTTTTGTTGCTGTTCTGGCCTCGGGTCTTGCCAAAATCACACCTGTGTTTCTGCCTTGGGAATGACACATTTGCGGTGGTTGTGTTGCTCTTCTCATCAGCACTTCTGAGCTTTCCCCTCCCAGACCATGTTGTGCTGCCCTGTAATCCAGGATGGGGCTTGGCAGCACCTGTGTGCCCTTCCCCAGGCACTGTGTCTGCTAATGAGGAAAACTAATTACTTAAAAGCTTTCAGTACAATGGGTTGAGAAGTATAAATAGTCATGAGCTGCTCCTGGTGCCCTGCGAGCCATGGAGCTGTGTTTGCGCTGATGCAGGCAGTGGTGCTGTATGAGCATTACCTTGTGCACTCATTGCTGTGTTCAGATGTTTTCTGTGGAGGAGTATTCCTTGTGTGCACACTGAAAGGGCCAAAATAGAAAAGAAAATGCAATGGGTGATGGTTCCAGATGGTATCATAGATGGTTAAGGGGTTGGAATGGACCTTAGAGATCTAGTCCTAACCCCCTGCCCTGGGCAGGGACACCTCCCACCAGAGCAGGTTGATCCAACCTGGTTTAAGTGAAGTTGGGATTAAACTTGGCTTTGCCTTTTTGTTGGTTGCATTGAGCTATTGAGAATGAGCTGTTTTTCTCTAATCAGCTTTGGTACATGGCAAAGATTTTGCTGGTTTCTGTTTGAAAACGAGTTCTAGTAGATTATCAGTATCTATTTGCACAGAGATATCCTACAGAAGTAGTTTAATGTGAGGCTACATGGACAGTAGAGTGCTGGAGGCGATAAAATGACCCCAGTGCCAAGAGGCTGCAGGGGCAGACTGGCAGCTGCTGCCAGGGTGAGACTGGAATGGCCCTTAGCAGCAGCATTTCCTTTCTCTTACTCCATGCAGGGTCCCAGCAGGAGCAATAGGTCTCACCAGACAAATCCCTTTCTGTCTCCTGCCTGTGGGGTCAGTTCCTAATCCCTGGAGAGCTCCACAAGCATTGGTTGCACATTAACTTGAACTTCCATAACCACAGTTCTGAGATTTCTTTTTTTCTACATCCCTTCTCCTTTGTTGAACTGTATTAAAAAAACCCACATGCAGCTATTTTTGTTCCCTCTGGCAATGGGCAGAGGTCAAGTGCCCACTTTAATTTTTACTACCTTTTGTGATTTTTAGAGGTAGCTGTTCATACAGTTTATTGAAAAGTACTGAAAACTTGGACAAAAAAAAGGTGCTCTAGCATGGTTCAGCTCATTTGGGATCAAAAATTATGTGTGCAGTGATGTAGATCAGCATGGGTTAGGTTTTTTTGGTGCTTAAAAGCTGGGTAAGAGGTGTTTTCTGTAATCACTGACATGACATTCTCATGTCTCCCTTCGTTAGGATTAGGGTGGCCTTCAGTTGAAGGTTGGTCTTGATGATCTTGGAGGTCTTTTCCAACCTTAATGGTTCTATGATTAGAAGATGCTCATGTCTCCTAGCTTCCCACCCAAGGCAGAGGGATGTGTAGTCTCTGCTTTTTGTCCAGGTTAGAAGCTCTGTGAGAGCAAAGCTCTGAGTGTAGATGCTGCAAGGGATGGTAAGAGCAGGCAGCATAATGATTTGGCAGCATTCCCAAGGGAGTGTAAGATGCATTTTGCTGCTCTTTGGTGGTGGTTCTGCCTGGCTGTAGGTGTTGCTATGGTTGATGGTCTTCACTGCCTCAATGTGGACATGTGCTGAGGGTTCCTACTTGGTCCTTCCATTGTAAAAGTTGTGTATATAGCAGTAATGATATGTGAAGGTATTTGAAGCAATACCAACATTCAGTTCCAAACCCAAATACTACACAAAATACAAGGCAAGGTTTAAAGCCCAGGTAGAGGCAATATTCTGGCTGTTTTGCAGCTGCCTGAGAACCTGTGGCAGGAGAAGCAGAAGGTCTGAAAAAGCCAATATGCAGCCCACACAGCATGTGGGTTGAGCAAGGTCTGGGAGTGTAGTCCTGGGAAAACCAAACACTGGTTCAGTGTCAGCCACTGGTTTTCATGGTCCCTCGGGTCACAGCCAAGTGGCAAACTTCAGCTAATGTAGCACCATGTGGCCACAGGCCATGGGGCAGATGATGTGTCCCATGGTCCAGCATGTCCTTGTGATGGGAATTGCCACATTGTTGTGTGTAGGACCTCAGGGACAGCAGTGCCACATGCATGACCAGGGAACGATCACAGCAGAAAAGAACCACAAGACACGGTAGATGATGACTAAGTTTGGTCTTTAACAAAACCCTAAACCATCGTAACTCCCTTTATTATTGGCTTATTAGCAGCTTTCAAGTGGCTTCTGCCACTAGGGCTGCCCATGGAAGTGGTGGAGTCACCATCCCTGGAGGTGTTCAAGAAACAATTGGATGTGCCACTCAGTGCTCTGGTCTAGTTGACAAGGCGGTGATGGTCACAGGTTGATGATTTTTGGAGGTCTTTTCCAACCTCAATGATTCCGTGATTCTAAGTGGAAAAGCTGAGCTGGTGTGACTCTACATGTCCTACTTAATGTGCCACAACAGCAAAGATAAAACTGCTTATTGTTAAAATAAAGTTTTTTATTTGTTCTCCATGTGTTCCTTCACAATAAATCCCAGTCTGAGGGCAGCCAGGCCTGGAGGAGCAGAGTTAGTAACAGTCCTTATCCTGTTTGTGGTCCAGCCCAACCCCACACTGATACTCTCCCAGGGCATGTTTCAAGACTGCTCTTTGATACAACATTGCTCTTGTTTCATGAGACATTTCTGCCTCTGTAGCACTCTGGGGATGGAGAGGTGAGCAGAGGACAGTCACACTGAAGCTTCTGTGTGTGGTCCCAGGCCCAAACATGCCTCAGATTTCCATCAGGGATGTGCAGTATGCATTAATCACAGGGGTGTGATGGTGTAACACTCAGTCACACACCTGACAGTCCACTCAGAGCACCTGAGGTAAACTACTGTGGGGCATATGGCCATGATCACTATCTGTTTTGAATGTGAATTGTCTTCCCTCCCTGCAAAGTATCCACAGCGTCTCTCTTGAGTGTCATATCCTGACTTGGTGGTGTTGTGTTACCATTAATAATTAGGATTGTGCATGAGAATGCATTACAAATACCTAAATATGGCTTTGCTGCCTTTATACAAACCTTTCCTGGTGATTAAAGACCATCAGTGCAAGCTTTGTAAGGGACAGAGGGAGCAATGGTGCAGAACAAGCACAATAAAAACAGTGATGAAATTATCTCTTGCAAATGATTTTGGTCATCTTTTGGAAGAGGAGGAATTAAGAGAATACAGATAGTTTCTGTTGTCTCTGTAGTGCAGCATAGGATAAACATATGGAGAAAAGTGTTTTAGCAGCAGAAGACAGAGCAGAAGGTAGTGCTGACAGCAGTCCTCAT